TGCGATTTACATTCGACTCGGCGCTACAGTCATGCTTGAATCATGCGAAATCACTGGACACACGAAAACAATCGTGGATTTGGTCCGAGTAGGTATACAATGATTTCTTTCCTTGTTATGAAACGTAACGAATAACATGTACAGTTCAGATTTTACCATTTTACAGGTTCCACGATTTAAATATCCACGATTTAATGGACCGACAATTTCATTGTTGTCAAGTTAAAGATTTCACAGTTTAAATACTGTCGATGCAAAACGACCTTTAATGTAAAAATTTCACGAATTATACGTCGTTAATGTTCGGTTTTTACAATATAAATGTCAAAAATTCGACAGTTTAAATGCAGTCGATGTTAAGGTTCCACATTTTAAATGTTGTCAACTTGAAAGTTTCACATCTTAAATGTCGTTGATATAAAAGATATATAGTTCCAATATTCCCAATGTAAAATGGTCTCACAGTATATATATATATCGTCAACGTTTATGATTTCACAAACTGAATGCCGACGTAAATCTTGCACTGTTAAAATACTTTCAACGTTAAGGTTCCACAATTTCGATGTTGTCAATGCAAAAGTACTACAGTCATTCTAAAGATTCCACTCATTCAAATCTTGTCAAAACGAATATGTTTCGACGATTAAATGTCGTGGATGTACTGGTACCAAAGTTTAAATGTCAAAGAAAAGTGTCTCAGTTTAAATATGGTCAACACTGATTAAATGTTTTAAATACATGTGAAAATTCTGTAGTTTTAATGCCAGCTACGTTAGGTTTCTACGATGGAAACGTTATCGTATAATATTTCCGCAGTTGAAATGTTGTCACTTTGGCCTTATTTGGAAATTCAGTTCCCGTTGGCAAACGTGTATTGTTCCGGGTCACGTGTTTATACTCGTTATGTACCTTTCACGCGTTTACCGACACGAGATTTTTTATAACACTTCTCTTATCGACGATTTCGTGTTTGAACTCTGATACGGAAGTTACACTACGTTCACGAGACTGATAATATTATTCTGTCGTCCACGTATTTCATCAAGCATACTGACTGGTTTCCGACCAGCCGATACGCTAAAGGCTTCGATAATCGATGAGCTTATCGTCATCGAGAACCTTATGGCGTTGTTGTTCGATACTCTGGTAACTTTAAGTACTTTTAGTTACATGAAATACATTTACGACAAATTGTATTATAGTATAGAAGTATCTATACGAAAAAAAAATATACATGTCGAATCGAGTAACATCCTCCTGTGAAGTCGGCTTAATAAGCCACGGAGATTCAAGAACTCACGATCTTTGGATCCACAGTCGACCGCTTTACCTACACGTCCAATACCGCATCATGCGATTCATGTTCTTGTTTGACTCTTTATTCTTGAGTATGGAGGGCGCGATACTACGATAGTAAAACCTAGGATCTACTTTAATGAGAGTCGTTGTTGGGTGATATTGTTAACTCTAATTAATCTTTCTTTCAAGATTGGGACATTGTAAATTATTCCTAAAATGTTCAAAATTGTCTAATGGACCAATTTTTTCTATATTCTCACAAAGCAGTCGAGATTAACACGATGAACGCCACGTATATAGGTGACAGAGCTTTTCACTAAGAAAAATCCCCTTAGGGATTGAATTCAAAATATCCTTTCTTATTCTTTCTATACATCGTAAAGGAAACTTCTGTGCAAAATTTCAGGTTTCTAGGTTCAAGGGTTTAGCCTGAGCATTGATGTGTCAGTCAGGATTTCATTCTTATATATATACAGGGTGTCTACGTATAAGTCCGGTCATACGCAGGGTGTCAATTCTACAACATATTTCCAACAAAAAATTACTCTTAGACATTTTCTTTGTGTCCCTTTATACACTTTTAATTTTTTTTCTGTGATTTCGACTTGACATTCTTTAAACGGCCATAACTCCACTAAATTACAGTGCAAACTTAAAAATCGGTACACCATTCGAAAGAGCGTTAAATTTTCCATCTCTCTGATGCAAAATCAAAATTTATTACGTAGGTTTAATAAGTGAAAAATTAGGTCAAACTTTAGATTGTGACAATTTTTAAAAATTTGGCTTTTTCTCTATCCGTTTTTCGGTTTTAAATACATAGTTGTTTGGCGGGCACTCCTCGGGAAAAACTTCCTCGAAGTCTCAGCTTTTGAATGATATTGTAAACAAAAATTCTACGGTGGTATTTTAGGGAGAAAATGACGTTTGAATGCAGAAAAGCGGACGTTTTTAGGTGAAAATCGACATTTTTCAACAAAAATCGACTTGTCACTTTAAAATTAGCTTGACATCGGGTTTGATGTATTTTTTGGTGACACTCCCGCGTCTCCCCAATTAGGAAAACAACTGGTTTTTTTTTACATTTTAATTTAGTGGAGTTATGGCCGTTTAAAGAGTGTCAAGTCTAAAACACAAAACAAAAATTAAAAGTGAAAATACTCGAGAATAAGGCGACACAAAGACAATATCTAAGAGTAATTTTTTGTTGGAAATTTGTTGTAGAATTGACACCCTGCGTATGTCCGGACTTATACGTAGATATCCTGTATATTCGTTTCATGTGTGGTGAGTAAAGTTTCACGAGTGAAATTATCCTCAAAACTGACCTTCTTTTTGCGTATACTACACCATGAGAAGGTAAAATATTTTTTAAAGTTCAAATAATGTGTTATTTTTATAACAACAATAACAGTTTATATTGTGCTTAAATTCTTATGGATTTTATTTAAATGTTTGTGTGAAACATCATTGAACATGAACCTATTATTTAAGAGCTCCAACTGTCCAGCCTTAACTACTTAAAAATTTATTAATCATCTCAGCGGGATTTCATCGCGATGAATATTAATTTCCCATAGTAGCAACTAATCTACCATAGTCACGAGAACGATGAAATAATTTGTTGCAACGAAAGAATGCACATGAATATCCGTCGCTGCATCGGAAAAGTAGAGTCCAATCTATAATAATTGATCTGAAGAGGCGCATTTAGCGATTCTACTTTCGTTAAAATTTCTATCTCGCTATGTGGACGTTACAAACATGTGTATCTTTAACACGATCGCTATTCATTAACCGTGTTTATAACATCGTAAAATTTAGTCATGGTTTTGCGAATAATCTGTTGCATTTTGATTTACATATTAACGCCCGCGCGGGTGCCCAGGGGGCACAATGTTGAAACAAACGGATTAAAGTTTCATTTACATTCACGCGAGCACGCGATTAACCGTCTTGCACGCGAGTATATAAAACATCAATGCAAGGAGGCGGCCGCGAAAGCGAAATGTTACTCACTCATACGATAATTAGTCTGTCTGCGACTATTAGTTATGGCTGCGCCTTTTAAAAATCTAGAGTACAAATGTGCCCGTGCCTGGTGCCACGGGATCGGTACCAATCACATTTCTCGATTGACTTTTGCGTTACAATGAGATGTACTTTGATACAGTGAATAATTTTAATAAATTGAAACAATATTAATTAGAAATTAATTAAGGACAAAGTAATTAACCCTATGACTGAAACTCGAAGAGGTGTGAATTTAAAAAAAATATAAGCTTATAGGGAATGTTCAAACGAAACTTTTTTTTCTTTACAGTTTATTGATAGGACGTTTAGTTTCAAAAATAAAAATTAACAACTTAAAAGACCTTTTTCCTGAAACCTGGAGGTTTGATTCTGTTGCAGTTGTCTTAAAAAACAACAACAGTCGAACAATCGAGTTTGAAAAAAAATATCACTTTATAGAAAATGAGAAAACTAAACTTTTTTGTATTTACAGTTTATTCATATGACGTTTAGTTCCAGAGATAAAAATTGATAATTTAGAAGGCTTTTTAACCGACTTCGAAAAGGTGGAGGCTATTCAATTCGACATGTATATTTTTTTTCCTTGAAGTTCAATTTTAGCATCGAACTTTTAACTTCTCAATTTTTATTCTTAAAGCTAACCATCCTATGAATAAACTGTAAATACAAAAAAAATTTCGTCTCAGCATTCACTATAATTTGATATAGTATAAAAATTGATACAACGAATACAAATATTTTTCTGAGACCATTTCTCGACGACTTATACATACATATGTTAAGGGGTGAAGCTTACATAGGACGATCCTAGAAAGGTGCATGTTTGTGAATTTTTTTAGACAAATAGAAAATTTTCTGGTGGCAAGTGTCAAGGTATTCAAAAGAACGTTTCTTAGTGCATGTACCGTAATCGTTGTATTTAAAAATATTTGTTCTATCTGACTTTTTTTCTATGTTTATATTTAACACTAGACCTATTGATGTTTCAGTTGTACCTATTTCTATCGTGATTGGACAAATTACTAGTCTTAAAGATACTTTTTTAATTGAATGCAAAAATATTTCACGTGGTACTAGATTGAATAATGCACGTAACAATTGTATATAATTTATGTATTGGATAGAAGAATTGTATACAAAAATTTGAAAACGGTAATTTCACCAGTCATGGTACATTTAGTGTTAATTATTGTGTTTTTAAGTCAAATTTTGCCTCTGAATATTAATACAATTATTAAATGCTTGAAAGCATAACCGGATGCAAATGCAATTAATTTAAAATATTTGAATGATTCGAACAATCTAGTATGAGTAAAGTAAAAACATAATTAATTCTGTTTTAACAAAGCATACTTTATATTCAATATTGTATGATATATTTTTGATTAATACTTGAAGTTTATTAAATAATGACAAATGTTTATAGTTGTTATCTTTAATCTTTAACCAAACGATCATTGTATTTACCAAGCTTTATCAAATTGTCCTTGCGAGTCACTTCCCAGTTCATGAAGATTAAAATATTGCAATAAGTAGATTTGGTGTTAATTATTGTGTTTTTCGGTCATTTGCCTCTGAGCATTAATTAAGTGAAGCGTTTGTAGTGAATTTCAGGATTAGGTTATCGATGCAAATGAAGCGAATATAAATTTAAGCTGACGTACCTTGGGCATCAAATTGCCTCCGTCTGCGTAGCATGGTTCTTCCTTGAGATGAAACGGGACCTGTTCTTCCATGATTTTCGTCGTGCGGCTCATCTTCCCCTGCACTTGTTGCACTATCACGTTGCACTACTTCGTCACTTCCGATCGTCGATGGTATGGGGCCACCACTTCCGTTTCCACCGAAGAACTTCACTTTTCTTGCTAGTTCCACGTACCCATGAAGACCCGTCTCGCTTAATCTAATCAACGAAAATTAATAAACGAGAAGCTCACACACGATACAATTGGCCAGTACATTGCACAAATCGATTAACTCCATAAAACGAAAAGTTGCGAAATGCGATAAAAATGGCCTCTAAAATAAATTATTTATTATTTAATGGCCAAAAAAGTTTAGTTGTTTAACAGTGTTAATCTTTATAATTCAGGAAATTTATAATACTATGAATCAAAAAAGTTATGACTATGCAAAGTGCTTCGACACTTACGTTTAAGATTTTTCAAAAAGTGGAGTTAATCGATTTGTGCAGTGAACGGCTCAATTAAGTTATGGTAAATTCTATAGAGAGACCCCGTATTGACATTATTTTACTTTTGGAGTCTGTATAAAAGAAATCAGAAAAAAATTAAGTAATCGTCGATCGTTGTGAACTTAATATATAATAATACTAGATTAAGATTACTTCATTCTTGTTTATGCTTATCTTCAAGCAAGTTTTTTCTGGAATTTATTATTCTCGGAGATATCAACGAGAGAATCAGTTATCTCTGCATAGTGTTATATACTTCGTATGAAATAATGTCATGTATTGTAGTAAATATGTATGCTTAATTTGCGCTGCGTTGTAGTTTCTTCCCAATCAAATTGTATTGAAAATTATTGAAAAAATTGACAAAAGTCACTACATATTCGAATTCATGCATTGTTTACTTCCGAAAATGGTATCGAACCAGAGGATCGAAACATATAAATATTAGAGGTACCCATAAGAAATGTCAATTGTTTCGAATTTTTTAAATAGGTCCGTCTATTGACAATGACTCAATGTAATGAAATCTATATATTACTTAAATATAGATTAAAAATCTTATGAGAATATAAGAGTAATAAAGTCCGAATAAGTTCTATATTAGACATTCGATGCTTTTCGAGTTTGGAAAGTATAACAATGCTACTCTTACTACGAATCTAGGAAACTTGTTGAGCTTGGAGAGGATCTATCGTTGACTGAAATTGAAGCTGATCCCAAACGAACTATACCTATTAGCCATAAAGCGTAAAACTTGATTGCCCACGATAAAACGGCGTATAAAACAATTGAACAGAATACGAAGAAACCTTTTCAGTTAAAAACTAAATTCACCGTGTAACCATTTGCAGTGTACTTTTGTTCAGGTTAAGCTGTTGAATGAGAATACCGTTACAGGACAAAATTGTAAGAACTTATAATACTACGGAATACCTATAATAATACAGGACTCGTTTATTAGTCCTAGTCTGCTAAGTAAAGATTTTATTAGAGGCCGAAAGTGTAATTTACGATGCTTAATAAAATTTCGAGCTGTTTACCCGTCGAGGTGCCGCGCGAACGACCCAAACTCATTTCAATTAGTCAATTTCAAAGGCAATTGTAAGAAAACGACAACGCCGTTATCCCTTTCCCACTCCGTGTTTTAATATTCATTCCTCCGAAGAAAGAAACGCCAATCATTTAGGAAAAACCAATCACCATCGCTTGTACCCTGAATCAATGAACAGGAGAGCTTAACCCATTCACTGTCAGGCAAATATAAAGCGTTTTGCCTTGATCGCCAACATTTAATATAGATGCGTAATCTAGGTTATTACTTTGATAATAGAAAGCGATATTAAATTTGTTGGTTTAAAAAGAAACTTTTTAATCTCCTTTTGCAATAATTCGTGACTCAAAAGGCTATAAACTTATCCCTTGAGTAATTGTAATCAATTTAAACTACGGGAGATCTCGTAGTTGGCAGTGAATGGGTTAATTCGACCCGATCACGAATAAAACTCAATGAAACTGATCATGACAGAAAACTCATTTACGAGGGAGTTTGGTAATTGATGCGCGTTGATGAATTTTTGGTTCTTTACAGAAATAAAGTTCATGGGAATCTAATCACTAGACTGTGGATCTTTACGCAAAATAAAATCTTCGCGAACGTGCCTACAAAAATTGAACCTAAATTGGAATTTATTTTATTCTGCAAATATTATAACATGAACTTTTCTTTCACTCTTTTTTATATTCTTGCATATTATTTGCAGTTTTTAGTTTCGTGCACATTCTAATTTCCTATAAATCCATAAAGATCCGCAGTCTACTAATCACAGTGCCCTTTTCCATTATTGCCCAAAAACGGTTTAAGGAGTGGACACACCTCGCGATTTAAATTACACGCCATTCATATATTTTCATTATTTAAATTGCACACACCTCACACTCTCACTGCCACTGCTCTCGTATCTAGTGCTGCTGTTCGATTCCCTCCTAGTCCTTGTAATCGCGTCTCGTATCCTTTGGGATGCGGAACAAGAGTCACCAGTTTTCCGTGGAAGGGCTGGCGTTGGTTCGCTTTCGCTCTCTCTGGGACTGTATCTCGATGATCTTGTACTTAATGGACTCACCTCGGGTGACAAGTGCTGTAAGAAAGAAGCAGCAGCGTCTGGTATAATGTTTGAAAACGAGCAACACCGATTATTTATCAATACGAGAATCATAAGTAGACGATTTCTCGTGGCTACTCGAAGAGGAATCGATAACTTTCTTGCATTATAAAGATGTTAGGTTATTTTAGAAGTTTTGCGCAAGTATTTGACGAAAAGAAATTTTAGTTTAATGTTAAGGTGGTCAAGTATGGTTCTATTTAGTAGGTGAAACCATTAGTGCTACTATACAGAGTGAAGCATTTAAAACAGGTCGCCTGAATAATTCGTTCACTTTTAGCGATAGAACGTGGTCGTAATAACTTTTTTATCGGTAGAAGCGTAGAAGTGATATGAAGGTCGACTCTGTTTTTTTAAATGGAATGATATAGTTTCTAATACGCATTCTGATAAAGTGTATCAAGACGAATACAATGACCTCTATATGAAAGTCATTCAAGGTTACCCAGGCTGACTGAATTAAAAATAAATTGTTTCAAGGCGTTCTTCAAATATTTCATTAATATTCTTATTTGCGTACTCACTGCTACAGCAAGTGTTCAAAATGATGACCTTGAACTTGGATGCATTTTCTATAACGTGTTAATGTAGAAAACATTGCACAATTAACTTCATGTAGATCAACTGCAATCCAAGCTCCTTCATGTCTTCTCTGGTTGTTGGCATTTTGCTGTATACTTGCTGTTTTAACTTTTCGCATAAATAAAAATTCATGGGTGTTAAATTAGAAGAACGTGCCGGCCATTTACTATAATATTTCTTAGTCGATCAATCTGTAGATATAGTTAGCCTGTATATAGTTGAATGATCTTCAACTATAGATCATTGTATTCGTCTTGAAACGCTCTACCAAAATGTGTATAAGAAACTGTATCATTTTATTAAAAAAAAAAGGACAGTCAACCTTTATATCTCCTCTACACATCCACCGATAAAAAAGGTATCGGCACCACGTTACGTGCCCCTCGAAATCAAATAACTCTTGTTCGATACTTTTTTTTCTATCGCTAAAAGTAAGCAAATTATTCAGGTAGTTATTATTCATTTAAAAATGAGTGTAACAGATATATGAATCGATGTAGAAGATATATAAAATAAAGATAGATTAATTTAACGATAGAAAAGATTGTAGAAGAAGATGATCATTTAGAATCAGTGAATGATCAATGTGTTTCGAGTAATGTGAATATTAGTAGATACTGAAAGTTAAGTACATCAGTATAAAGCATATTTGCGTGCAAAATTATTAAAATAAATTGTACACGACGTATAAATTCGTAAAAATTAATTTTATCTGTATGTAAGTACAATTTAACAAATTTTTCTAGCTATCAAACTCGATTTGTCCTTCCATTTAGTTTCAATAAAAACGATTGCTATCAGTTCATATCTTACTACCAAGAAAACATTTCAGTTAATATTACTTGTAGTCCCCGCTTAAATTCTACGTAGGATTCTTACCGAGAAAAGTCTTCGTAAATCTGTTCCGTACGAACAGTATCGGTACTAGACTAAAGCTGATAATACAGGGTGTCCCAAAAGTCGGGGAGGAGTCAGAAATGGGGGGGGGGGGGTAGCTGAGACGATTCTGAACAACAATTTCCTTTGCAAAAATGTCGGATGGGGCTTCGTTAAAGAGATATTAAGAGAAAACCCCGACCAATCAGAGCGCGCGTAGACCGTTGGGGCGGCCGCGGTAGCGAAGGCTACGCGCTAGGTCGATGCTTCGATGCACGTCGAGTCACTTGTTCGCGTGCAAGCGCGGTCGCCAGCGCGTAGCCTACGCTACCACGGCCGCTCGAACGGTCTACGTGCGCTCTGATTGGTCGGGGTTTTCGCTTAATATCTCCTTAACGAAGCCCCATCCGACATTTTTGCAAAGGAAATTGTTGTTCAGAATCGTCTCAGCTACCCCCCATTTCCGACTCCTTCCCGAGTTTTGGGACACCCTGTATACTGATCGTAAAACTTACACTGGAGCATCGTTTGTTCGGCATATCATCGGTGTCATCGGGATTGGAAAACTCTTCTTTCGAAACCTTTCGCCGCACCTGAAATGAACACACTCGTAAACATAATAAAACATGCAATCTCGTTTTTTCTCAAACAAATGTTTTGCATCCCTATAATAAATATTTATTGTTAAAGTGGTCTCTTCTGTGCTTAGAAATAAAATATAAATTTAGATTTGCAGTTTGCTAAACAACTTGTAATTTCAATAGATTTTACCGATAGAAATATGTGTTTTAGAGTCGGATCATTGAGTTGAAAGATTAGAGGCAAAACGATCTCTACCTGTATCTTCCTCTCATAAGTCTGCTAGTTTTATTGCTTTTTAAAGAATTTTGAACTGTGCATTCTTAAAAGTACATACTTTCCAAAATGAAAAAGAAAGAATTGATGTGTTTAATTCAACGATGCAGAAACCACTCTTAACCCTTTGACTGCAAAGGACGTATTATATATGCCCTCGAGAAATTGGCTCAGAGAAATGTTTGTATTTGTTAAATCAATTTTTAACCCTTTGCATTCGGTTGTCTCCTCTGACGGGACATCAAAGTTTATTAGCGATTACAGGGAATGAACTTATTCCCCCGCAATTTTTTAAGAAACACATGTTTTCCTGTAGTTTTCTATTAAAGTGGTACAACAAACAAATCAAAATATGATAAAATTATCAAGATGCATGATTAAAAAATCAACCGGTTTTACACGTCGAAAAAGAACGGGTGGAGTGCGTTCACCACGATCTATACACTTCTCTAATTCATTGAACAATATGTAGAATTAGTGGAGCAAAGGTACACGTGTATGGCTCAATGATATAGGGAAACTTGATAAGATAATAAAGAAATCCGAAAACTGAGAAAAGATTTTACAAGAACACAGTTCGTATCGAAGCGTTGAATAGTAAAGATCTCTCTAAATTTTGATTGTTTTTGTAAATATGCGTTCTTCAATGTCCACAAATACATATAAACCAAATTTCATTTCAATGCCTTAGCTGATTCTAAAATTGTACTGTATAATATCACGTTTCCAGGGTGTACGTTTTCGCAAAAAAATGGCGTCGAGTTGCTGGTAGGTAACGTCCGAAACAGTGCCGAGTGCAAAGGGTTAAACAATGTCAGATTACAGGGGACGATGAGACGAAACTTTTTTTATATTCACAGTTTATTCATAGGATGCTTAGTTTCGAAAATAAAAATTGCAAAGTTAGAAGTTCGTTGAAAAAATTGAATTTCAGGAAAGTGGTCTGCCAAGTTATCAATTTTTGTCTCTGAAACTAAACGCCATACGAATAAACTGTAAGTATAAGAAAAGTTTCATTTTGTCATTCTCTGTTAGGTGATATTTTTATTAAATTCGATTGTTTGTTTTTTTTTTTCTTTAAGAAAACAGCAACAAGATCACTTCAAGATCTCAGAAAAGGCCTTTTAAGTCTTTAATTTTTATTTTTGACGCTAAATGTCCTATGAATGAACTGTAAATATAAAAGAGTTCCGTCTTATCATACCCTATAAGCTGATATTTTTTTTAAATTCACACCTCTATGACTTTAAGAATTTCCAGCAAAAATCGTCCTGTGGTCAAAGGGTTAATAAACATAATCCTAAAGCTCCTGTTGGAGCACTTTTCTACTTAATTTCAAGGTAGCTACGATCCCAATGTACTAACCACTTGGAAGTCGTCGGACTTCTTTCCATGGCCAAGATCCCCGACAGCCTTGCGTTCGTTCGTTTCGAATTCCGCAACGTCAGTTTCGGTACTCTCCAGGAAGCTCTCAGCAGAGTCCTTCATAGAATCTATATGCTTCTCGTTCTCCGACACTTCCTCCTCCTCGCACATCGGATCTTCCTCTTTCCCCGGCTTTGTCAGCTTCTTCTCCAGCTGTCCCCCCTTTTCGCCTTTCCTGACACCTTCTTGTTCCTCTAGCAGTTTCTCGTCGGCGACAACCACGTCGAGCATCGTCTCTTCTTTGCTTCCCGCCTCGATCCTCACTCTTGCATTCTGTTCCACGCGCGGACTTTCTTCGTCGCGTCTCGACGATTTCCCATCGAGCGTCTCCTTGCTCTCTCTGGCCGACACCTTCGTCCTGCCGTGCTCGTTTACTGTCGACTTCGATTTCGACGTTGTCGAGACGCCCACCCGTTCCTCCGGCCTGTCTTGCTTCTCCTCTTTACCGGATTGCTTTCCTTTTGCAGCGACGCCGACGTTTGCCGCCGCGTTCGCATTTGAATTCTTGCCGTCCCTACCCACGTCCTCGCGACTGTTGTCCCGTCGGAATATTCGAATGCCGTGTTTCGAGTCCTCCTTACCGAACACGGAGCTCCTCAACTCCTCCTTCGACTCCTTGCGGCTCGATTTCCACGCGGAACGTATGTCGTCCTTGCTATCCTGCCGCTTCAGTTTCTCCTCCTTGCTGCGGGGCGAGAGCAGCTTCGGGATCAAGCTCGGAAGGCTTATGTCCTCGCGACTGCGTCGTAAATCGTCGGTGCTGCCTCTGTATCTGGAAGAAATTGGCCGAGTTTTAGTGAACGAGTCTTTGGTAACTTTAAGCCAATGTGACGAGGAAAGTAACGTGTCCTTAGGGTCGCAAGGAGAGCAGAGAAACATGGATCTGTTAGTTGGTGTCTTTATGGTTTTTTCAGGATAATTATTCGTTGTCTATACTAAAATTAAAAAGAAGAAGAATCGGTGTTTTTAATTCAACAAGACAGAAACCTCTCTTGATGAACATTGTAAAGAGGAAAAATTGTTTGTATCCAGCGAGTAATCTCGATATATTGTTAGAAAGTCTAGCATCTTGGGTTGACGATTCATTCTAGCGTGTTGGTAAATATAAATGATTTTCTAGAGGGGGCTTTTTAATAACGAAATATACTTGTCGAGATAATCGTGGTGAACACAACGACATCTTTCATGTTCGATTGCAATCGTGTGCACTTTGAAAACAAAACTATATTTTATATAATATAATTCGAAAATTGTATAAATAAATTAAAGGAAAAATGTATAATAATTCATTTAAATATCGATCGCTTTTCTAGTATAGTTACATATTAATCATTAATTAATAAGAGTAAACAAATTAACACATTCACTGCTCGTGGCCAGTATGTGAGCCCCGGTAGCACCCTGTTATTGGATATGCCGTTGAAAAACCAAACAACGAACGTATTGCAATTGTAATTGATTTAAAAATGGAGTAGTGATCGAATATACTTTTCTATCTTGCAGTTTTTTCCACTCATTAGACTGATGAGACATTAATTAGCTTTAATACTTCTTTTTTTAACGATTATATTATACAACTGTTATTAAAATGTTTGTTGCTAAATTCTCATTTAAAGACTTTATGTATAAATTTCCTACAAAAACTGTTATAAATAAACTTGTCTAATTGTAAGTTAGGATGTGCTAAGCCTTACAGATGACTCGTACTAGTAGATTCTAAACGAAATGTTGCAATTTTACGGTTTTGCAACCATAAACGATATGCATTATTAAAATTCTCCCACTCAACAGCAGCGGCAAAGTTCGGTATTACGTAACACGTAACTTTGGTTATTTCTATGTACGAATATTCATTATCAAAATTATTCGATTTTTGCGAATTATTTTTTGCTCCGTAAGTTATTCATTTACGTCACATGAAATTTACATCAATTGCTAATTGAAAATTTTGTTAAATCTAATAAGTTTTTGTATAAAAAGTAGGAGTATATTGATTATCCTACCTTCCAGCTTGTTTCGTTTTCCCCTGCTTTGATTATCAAGTACTTATATATTACCGACATTCATTTTTTTCTATCCAATCAGATTTTCCTGATGTTTCTTATCTACCATATAATTTCTCGATATAGCGTTCGTGTTCATATTTCTGGCAATAAAATTTTATTCGTTTATGGTCAGGTGTTTTGACAAATATTACTCATACTTAAAAATCGATAACATCGTAAATTCCATTCCGAGGAATGCAACGTAAGCAAGAGCCACAATCGCGAAAGAATGCACATTCTCGCATACCTCCTAAATGAATCATTCATAATATTCCATTATTAAAAAAACAATTAATTTGTCAAATCTTCTCCACCATTTTACTTAGACAAAATTGCTTGCACTATACAATGGGTTTCTTCGTGTCAAATAATTTTTGTAAAAACATATCTTTCGATACCATCATCCATAAACCAAATCCTAATAGGTTCGAGATTAAACGAAGACAGCGAGTGATAAGTTGGAAGTACCTTTGTGGGATGAGAGAACGTTTCGGGGATTCTTGGGGGCTTCTAATGTCCTCGAACTCTTTGGAGCTTCTTCGAAATATAGGAATATTCGACTTCCTCTCCCCATGCTTAGCTTGAGTTAACTTGATTTCCGGTGAAATGAACTTGGACAGTATCCTCGGCGGTTTTATCAAGGATATCCTCGGTGTACTTTGTTCTTGGTTGCTCGTCGTCTCCTCCTGCTCGTCGGTCTTCGCTCTACCGCTGTTCGTTGCAGAAGGGCGCTCGCCTTTCTTCGCTTTTATGGCATCCGGCGATGGCACTTCCTCTTCGTGTTTACCGGGAAACCTTTCGGGACGTTTCGAGTTCGTTCGTTCGTTGGCGTCGATTCGCGTCGCGGATTTTTCCGAAGAAATCGTTTCGTTTCTCGTCGCTACGTCTCTGCACGGATCGTCTTTCGTGGAACCATTACAGTCCTCGACTTGCTCGTTCGCCTCTCTGCTAACTGGCCCTTTCTGATCAGGGCTCGGAACTTCGCAGCCGACGGGTTTTACGATTTCGTTCTTCTCAACGGTTTCTCGGTATTCCTGACGACGGGACGGTAAACTCCGATATACGCGCAGCTCCGGCGATTTTCTCGTCGCTGACCAACGCGTGGGTGGACCTGCATGTAAAACACAGACGATAATCTATTTCCTTCGCGGAGTAAACGTAAAAATTTCTTCGCGTCAAGGCGATCGAAATGTTTCGTGATATTTCTAGCAGAGATGAGTAGTATTCATATCTACATACAAATTTGGAATAGCGAATAGTCGATAAGCCAGAGTTTATTTGTTACTCGTTCTATAGAAGCAAAACATATTCCAAAAGGTTTTACAAAAGAGGCTTTAGGATTTTCTTCTTTTTCTCAGAGCAGTCGTAGGGGATATTCAAACATTATTTTTCACGTTAAATTGTATTTATTTACATTTTCATTTAGAATTTACTACTTGTGCTACACTAGAGTGCTATAGTGGTATTTAAAAATTAAACAAGACAGAATTAACGAGGAACAAATGCATCGTTTGTAAGACACATGATTTACACTTTAATGTTTGTAATAAAAATTATTAATGTTTAAATATTCAGTACTCAAAGGGTTAATAAACAAAGTTCTAAAGCCCAGTACAGTGTACAATATACTATACAGTAAATAAGTAAAAATTGTTAACTGTTAAATCGAAAAAACGTTGCGAGTATATCGGTATATCGTTGGTGGAAAGCAGTAATGAGATATAGAAGAAAAATCAAGAGAAAACGCAATAAAGATGAGGTGATTGCAGAAGAATGTAATAAGAATGCAATAAAATAATATAGACTAAGAGAAAAGAAACAGTAAAATGAAAGAAATGTAAACAGTCATATAATATTTGTATATATGTAAAGAAAAAAAGAGGAAAACGCAATAAAGATGAGGTATTTGTAGAGGAACGTAATAAGAATGCAATAAAATAGTATAGATTAAGAAAAAAGAGTAATATTTTTATATATGTAAAATAACAATTGTATTAAGAGAAAGAAAGTAATTAAACGAAATGTGAATGTTTAACGTACCGTTGATAGTCCAGGCTCGTCGAATGCTATGCTTCAATATTTCGACAGGCGACTTTACGTTTATAGATTCTTTGGATTCTGGACTTCCGAATGTCCATTTACCAGTAGCGACGTGTAACTCTCTGAAATAAACAAAGTTCCAAATGATCATAATTATCGCTACGCTGTATACTACAATTTTATACAATACATGTATTGTTTGCTAAGGGTGTCTTCAACGTCGAACATTTAAATAATTAAGAATAAAATATAGGGGTGAAAATCTTAGCAGAAAATTATTTACTAAACAAAATTAAAACAATGCTTGAATGTTACTTTTATTAACAAGTTTTCCAACTGTCAATATAGCACTTTTATTCAACATATGATTTCGCTTAAAACGTTAAATGACACAATTGTGAGTTGAGATAGTCCAATTTTTAACCGACTTCGAAAAGGAGGTCACTCAATTCGACTTGTATTTTTTTTTTTTTTTTTTTAATGTTTGCTCACTGATTACGTCGAGACGGCTTGACCAATCGGAATGAAACATCTTGCACCTGAGTATGTAGAGTATGTCTCCCAGGTAGATTCGTTATCATGACATTTTGAGATATCTCATTTTTTACCTGTTTTTTTTTAAAGAACCGAAAAATGTTGTGCTACTTCTTACTCCGAAACGGATGGATCAATCGGATTGAAACTTCTTGCATCTGATAGAGCATCACTGCTACTTGGTTCAATAATAATAATAATAATAATAATAATAATAAAAAAAAAAAAAAAAAAAAAAAAAAAAAAAAAAAACTTGGTTTATTTTTTATCACTTTTATCGCAAAAAAGCACTATTTTACGTATGTACGTCCGGAAATCGATGAAATCGATGAAACCTCCGAAAAGGTTCTTTTATATAATTTAATATAAACAAAATACAAATTATTTCATGGTTTTTAGTGCAGATTTAATATTTTTCGAAGTCGGTTATATTTTTCCTCCAAAAATTATTTTTGACGATCAATAGAGTGTTTATCGAACTCCTTCATAGTGGTAATTCAAAAATTACATCATTTGGGCCGTGTCGCTCGAGAAACACATCTGCGACATGATATACATCCATACATAATTAAAGATAACAGAATTATATATTTTGTTGTATCGTTTCCTGGGATATAGTTTCAGAAGAAAATATATGTTAAAACAAGGAACTTTCAGTCGTCGCTGGTTGCCAGTGTAATTTAACCCGCGCGAGAATGAAATAGCAATAATGGTAGGCTACTCACGCGATCTTGTAGCAAACGTTACAGATCCATTCGACGTCTTTGTTATCGGTAAGGCTCCTGACCTCGATACGGCATTGTCTGCAAACTCTGTGCCTGCAGCGTGCACACGTTGCGCCGGTGTTGTAAAATCTACCAAACGGTGCGCCGCATCTGGTACATTTGCGTCCTTGGTATGATAGTTCACCCGACGCCTTCAGAAGTCCCCTCCTTCGGAGGTATTGCAGATCAGCCTTCAGTCTTCTGCAAAACGTACAATTTTTCCATTACCCCTCTGCACTTGGAGCCTCTGCGTATACCCTAACACGGATCTTTGCACACAGTCCTCCGATCAAGCGAAACATAAAACCAATCCTTTACATGAAATGTCATTGTATGCTCCTTACAGAATCAAACAAATTCAACGTTGAAGCCATTAAACATTTACTATATGCATACAATGTTCTAGTTTCTTGTATAGGTTCTCATAAGTCTCCCTTGTAATTTGCCCAAAGGCAATCGGAAATATTCACTGGAACATGTATGCTTCACTAGGGTCCAAAGGGTCAAGAGGGGATACTCGAGATACCAGTGCTCACTTACTTTCTCAATTAACCCTTTGATCGCGAGACGATCTTTTGCTGGAAATTCTAAGAAGCGTAGAGGTGTGAGTTTGAAAAAAATATCAGCTTATAGGGTACGATGAGGCGAACCTTTTTCATATTTACAGTTTATTCATACGACGTTTAGTTTCAGAGATAAAAATAGAAAACTTAGAAGACCTTTTCCCTGAAGTTCACTTTTTTTCAACGAACTTCTAACTTTGCAATTTTTATTTTCGAAACTAAGGATTCTATGAATAAACTTATATAGGTTCTTATATAGGTTCTTGTAAGTCTCACTTGTAATTTGGTAAAAGACAATCAAAAATATTCGCTGAAACATATATGTCTGACTAGGCTCAAAAGGGTTAAGAGGGGATGCTTGAGGTTACCAATGCTCACTTACTTTCTCAATTAACATATGCAATATTATCCTTTGAAAACAGGCAGCTGGTTCATCGTTACAATTGATTGGGTTCGAAAAACGCACGATGGGTTTTGGCTTCCAATTGGACGAATACAACTGTACCAGAAAATCTGATACTGCGCGAAAGAAGCACTCGAATGGGAACCATAACTGCTATAGCATGCGGTACCGGATACGACATAAATCTCGCGTCGACGTCTCCGCACTGTTGTTTCTTAACCTATCACAATCACTGACTACACTGTCGTATCTAATTGAAACATTTTACTAGACAGCAGGAAACTTTAGTTTTACATTTAAAGAAATTAACAAGTGATAAACTTCATCTCTGAACACTCGAAAGTATTTGAAGGAAATTGATCACTTAGTTTGTTTACTATTATATTGTACAGTTATTATGGTTTATTACTAGTAATTAATTTGTTTAAGGAGTACACAATATCCATTAATGATATATATTTATTCGTGTTATCATCAAGTTATTTTTATACATTATTAGAACGATTTTATTAACATTAGTCATATTTTATGCGTTTGGTAATTAGATTGTACAAGGAAAAATGTTATCGATATATTTGTGTCTACGTGTGTAAATTATTTGGTTACATAGTTGATTATAATTTTTGTATTTATAGTATTAGTAATTAAGTAGTAGGATAATATAGAAATGTATAAGTTGATATGAATTTATGTGGGTTGTTACGTTATGTAGATTCATAACAACATATTATAGTATATTGCTGCTAATTAAATTGTCAAGAATATTTCATATGGAAATTTATACAAATTTATATGTAGTAATAAATAATTCATTTATCATTCAACTGGAAGTTTAAATGGGGTTCATATTAAATTATATGTTTACTATGAACACAGAATAGCGTGTAATTACAAATTAAACCACAATCTTGTCAAAGTTTTAACACCAGCAATCCCTAATCAAATTTATTCTTCAATCTAGCACAGTTCGAAAAAGTTTTACCGCGCGACAGGAAACGACCGTATTACATTAAAAGAAATAACAAGTTTGAACGGAACTGCACACACAGAACGAAAGGTTTCTCCGCTTCTCTACTTCAATTTTCGCACTCGATGCTCGTTTCCAGACTTGCGAGTCGTTCCAAGTGTCCTCCAGCACTGGAGAACGGTGAAGAACGCTGGACAATGACGCGCGAAAAGGATATTCAGCAAATAAAACGACAGTCCTGACTTTCGGCCCGATGACAATGACTCACTGACCAGCGTGCAGCCGGCGTATCTAAACCCTTTTGTTATAAAAAGAATCGACGCACCAACGCAAGAAAGATTGCTACATCTTTCTAGTCGGTGCCAGCGTTGCATTAGTGTATCTCGTTAGGCGTTTCGTCGGACATATACAGGGTATCTAAACTGAAGAAGACCACCTAACTATCGCTCATGATTTTTCTAACACAAAAATTGTATTCAATGATTTTGGAGGAGAAATGCCATAGAAGAAAAATTTAATTTCTAACTTGTTTTCTTCATGTTTCCTTCAGGTAGTTGTTCCGTGGATTTATTTAATGTAGGATATTAACAAAACTTCGCTTGATTGTTATTTGATTAAATATGAATCATATGAGTTTATTTCGAATTGAATTGACCATCTCAATTTTACGAAAAACGACAACAAAGTTTTGTAATTTTAACACAGACCCTTATGGGACATACAGTGGGTGTAGAATGTATTCGTACACCGATCAATTTCCCAAAAAACTTTTCTGTGCAATTGTAGTTTCTTAACTTCTTTTTTTATAATCAATGATATTCTCCGAAGTCTCTAAGATAGATATAGTACAAACAACATTTACTAGTTAATATAATTTATGAAATTAACAACAAAAATGCGAAAAGTGGGTAAAAGTATAGAAGCAATAAGTATTTGTACGATTCTTATGACGAACCATTTACAGTAGAGTTTGTAACGTAAACACATTAGTTTATTGCTCCGTACGAATTAGAAAACATCAAATTTCCAGTAAAGTACTTTTAAAAAAGGCTCTAATAGAGGAATGGAAGAAGATCCCACTTCGAATAACTAATAATTTAGTTAATTTAATGCTTAGAAGAGTTGCAATAATTATAAAATCAAAAGGAAGTATTATATACTTGTAAATTAATGTAAATTTCTTTTTTTTAAATCAAGTTTTAAAAATTAAACAGTTGTGCGAATACTTATTGCTTCAATATTTCTATCGATTAATTGTTTTTTTCTTTTTAATTTCGCAACTTACATAAATAACTATTTTTTTTGTACTCTATCTATTCTACAGATTTCCGAGAATATGTAGAATGTCATTGTTTATCACAAATAAGTTAATAAATTACAATTTTACATAGTTTTTTTGGAAATTGATCAGTGTACGAATACTTTCTACACCCACTGTACAAATTTTCACGCGAATTTTTTCAATTTAAATCAAAATGCAATGGAGGAACTTGCTGAAAATTTGATATGTTATAAAAGCCGATATTATAACTCATCTAAAAAAAAAAAGATAACAATTACTGACCACAACGTCATTGAGATGTAATTCATTAAAATTTGAAGCTGAGCGTAGAGTATTACGAATGTACGTGTACGTGTAGATATACATATTGACTTATTATGATCGTGAGTGATAGCAGTAAGACTATACTTTTACGAAAGTTTTCAATTATATTTTTGAACGTGACTATCTCGAAACAACAGCCTTAAGGGAGGATCCCTTTTATTGTTCAGTCTTCGTTTTTTTTAATACGTAAAAAATGATCGTCTTTTAGCATTAAAAATCCTGGATGGAAATTTGAAGCGCTGTAATTTTGCGTAAAATAATTGTTTCAAAATCATTGAAATTGTGCCACAGGAAATTTTCATATTACGAAAAACAAGAGAGCTATGTAGGTGGCCTCCTTCAGCTAGGACACCTTGTATGTATCTAGTTTCCATTCCCGTCGCACAATGATAGAGCATATTAACGCAACATACTGAACGGTGCAACGGACACGATCGAATAACAATGAACGATATTTCCTTTGCCTTTTATATACCCCTGGCTCCGAGTACTTGAATACCTTTCTCCTTTCTCTCTCTTTCCCTTCTTTTACCTATTAGCGTTGCATTCGCGCGTATACGAGACAGCGAGAAGGAACGATCTCTTGCGCAGACAATTCCACGCCCAAAAAAGGCAATTTCTGTGCACGACATAATTCATTTCTGCTTGTTTCTCTGGACTCCAAGCATAATTTGAAATTGAAATTATAACGATGAATGGTTATCGTGTTAGATTTAGTAATGTTGGTTGTAATCGTTGCAAATTTTGAATTACCCTTTGTTGATCATTTCAAAAATGATCAGAAGTATTAACGTTTAATAATAATAAATGCTTCGCATTGTAACATTTCTGTTCGCTGTATTATTTGTTCTTTGCAAAATTGTAGGTTTTTTTTTCATTGATATTTCTTTATATTGGATAAGACTGAAATATGCAACATTAAAATATAAAATTTAGACAGATTCAGAGGATTTCGATGGATTCTTACTGTTAATTTAAACTCGTGAAAATAAATGAATATGTTTCCAAAATTCCGAGCAATTCCATAAGCTAATATTCGAAGAAGATATCGAGAATGGTATAAGATATCTACTAGTAACGCGGCTAAGTAATTGTACATATATAAAATGCTTCAACAACTACTTTGTTTCTTAACATTTGTCGGTAAGTGTACATCCAAACCAATTAACTCTCCAGAATCAGCTTGAGAATTTACTAACAAAACAAAGGAGCAGCATCACTTTCCTCCGATGTTGGGTGCAGAAAATACACGTGTCACGAGGTGACACGAGTCTTCTTGTTTCGCACAGACGACTGTTTCATAATCGAATCACACCGACAGAATGGAATTATAATAAAATCAAGAGCGGCGATGTCAACGCACAGCTTGAGTTCTCGAGTCCAGCTTTCACCGATCTCCCGTGTCAAAAACACGCGAAATAACGAGGCTCCCGATACACCTACGCGTCCCGCCAGTCCCCCGCCAGCGAGTCTCGATCAGTCGAAGACACGATCCAACGTCGACCGCATCCGGTCGACCGAAACTCAGCCGCTGCACTGCTCGATCGCTATCGGGACCGCGATGTTCGTTCGTGCAATAAAACAAATCGAGCCGCGGTGCAAGGTGGTGTCACTTTCCGTGACCATTACTCAGCCGATATTAACCCTTTGCACTCAAAATAC